TTTCTTTTGCTCTTTCCTCAACCCTCCTCTATCATAGAACTCAGCTGCCCCTTCATATGGTCCTTCGCAGCAGTCACAAAAACTCCCCATACTGCGCTGAGATAAGCGGGAAGAGTAGCCGCTATGTGATAAATGTCCAAGGAGGGCGTATTTTGGATGCTGTGGTGGCTGTCGTCATTTGTTGGTGTGAGAGTTTCCGCTCCAGTACGGAAGCTGAAGCTCCTTCGGGAAAAACCCTGAATTTCATAAGAAATCGCAGAGAAATAGCAGAAAAGAGCTCAAATTCTCAAATTTGGCTTGGACAAAAGTTCGATACGGGGAACCAACTTTCAAGATTTGGTCCCAAGTGAGAAATATAACGAATAGTAATCGTAAAAAAGTTGTTGTTGGAAAGATCAGTCGCGAATTTTTCTCTGAAAAGGTACGTTAACTAATTGTCGAATGGTTGAAGACAATGGACTCCATCTAGCGATCTTGTGGGTTATGCAAACCCTTTATGACGTCTTGTATTTTACTGCACATCCAGGCCAATGAATAGAGCAAACCCACTGCAATACAAGATTAGAGAGCAATTGTACGCTAAAAATGATACGACCTCATTCCACACTTGTCGTGCGTTATTTTTCGATCTTCCGCGGAATTCCTTATCTTCTTCTTCAGCTGACAGCTTATAATAGCTTGTGTAAAACTTGTTGGTATCAGATAACAGATCATTTGTACAGTCACCGTGTGCGGAACGTTTTACGGGGAGTTTTATTTTGGACGCAAGAGAGTGCGGGTTTTGTTGTGATAACTGTCCGGAAAGCGTGAGGTGCGGGTTCGATTCCCGCCTGGGGTTCGACTTTTGCCCATAACTCAGCATTCTTGTGATAACAGGAGAGAGCGTCGTGTGTTCTACGGGGGGAGGGGGGGGGGGGTTCTGCTCTCCAGCAAAGAGGTAGAAAGTTTTGGGAAAGTTTGGATTTTTTCACCAGAAGTGTGGTTATTCTCTTAAGTCTAAGGTTTTTCGTGAGTAGTGAGCCTTTCGAGCCTTTCATCGGAGCTCTTAGGATTTTTGGTGGGTTAGAGAGTCTCATTTCAAGAGCTGGTAACATCTTACAGTACTGTCGATCTTTTCTATCGAAATGGTTGCAATGTAGTCAAGACATAATCCTTTTTTATATTTAAAATAGTTTTTCAAGCAATTTATCCCTGCTAGTGCCAATTCCGCCATATGAGATAGAGAGGAGGCTGAAGCTTTTCTGACAAAAATTTGCCGTTACGAAAGCGTCATAAAACTAATCGCCGACCCCGATTTTTGTTGTTTCGGTAGGACGTTCACCGCAGTTGCATGATAAAGGTACGAACTCTCTGGTATGAGCCGAATCCTGTCCAACATGGTACTGCACGTTGGATGTATTGCGAACAAAGGAGAGCCTGGACGTTCACACAGAGCACATCATTGCTTGGGGATTTAGGATCGGAGGAGGGGGCCCGCCCAATAACGACCAAATACGGACCTCCCCTCTCCTCCCTCCATAAACCAAGGAAAATCAGCTATCAGGAAACTTTCTAGGACCAAGATGGGCCACCCTTCCCCAGCGATCAAATACGACCTCCCACCCTTTTGGGTAATCCCCAACGATGATGTGCCCGTGGTTATGATGGTGAGAAGGTGATGATGCATCATTGGGGAATCTGGGGATGATGTGTCCTGCGTTCATTGCAGTGCTTCAGCCTTCTGAGGGAGTTACACTATGGTTGTGATGGTGAGAAGGCGATGATCATCTGATGAGAGTGGCGAAAAGCTTTGAAACTCGCGGCAACAAAGTACGCGGGAACCCCCAGAGCAAAAAACATTATCCATTTGTAATTTGCTTTCGCCGCGTCGCCGGTCGCAACGTGGATCTCTCAACCTACTCCTGAAAACTGATGGCGTTTTTTCTTTGAAAAAAAATCGAAATCCTAAAAAGAAGAGAAAAACGTTTATCATTCTCTTGTTTCGCTTTAGCAGTTTATCGGCGCATCTGTCGGGCTAACGATAAGAGCGCTTTCCACGAGGTGTTCTCCTTGGCTTTCCCTGATCAACGGCTCACGACTCTGAAATAGGGAGAAAAATCATAAGTAAAAGTAAAGAAAGTATTTGGCTTGGGAGGAGCTTTCGCCACCTTTTTTACCAGTTAACAGTTTTACCAGTTTTTACCAGCTAACAGGTAAACTCCTGTGAAGCTAAGAAAGTTCTGTCACTTTGGTTACAGGACTTTGCGGGATTTCACATGAGTTCCTGTACAGGCTTAGCTAAGTACAATTTTGCGCCCCCATCAAGACAAACTGTTTCAACAAAAAAAACTACTTTTTAAGAATATTTGGCAAACGTAAAGTGATCGAAAACGAGGACGAAATCGTTTCATGGAGGCATTTCAAAAGTTATCGAACCGTGATCGACGTTGATTGTTTAGATTCGGACGATTTATGTGTCTTCCGGTGGCGCGTTCAACACCCGTGTGCGGAACAGGTCAAAGCAATTTCAGGGAACAATTCAACGAGAATACCGCTTTCGTGGACGGGTCCATGGTCAGTTGACTAATTTCAGCCCGTGACTTACCACGAAGAAAGTGACGAATGGCCTGGGAATGACTTTCTGTTGTTTACAGATTTACGGAAGCAGTGACCGAGACCAGTTTCTATTCCGTCATGGCGCGTTCCTGAAAACGAAACTTGTCAAAAATCGAGTCTTTCCACCGATTGGTAGGGTTTTTCATTGGGATTTGGCCTGGACAGGGATATTTTTCATTTTCCAGACACCAACATGAATGTGGTGGCTGGTGACGACCGAGCGAATATTTTTGTTGGCTTGGCTGCTCTGCACACATTGTTCGTCCGCGAGCATAACAAGTATGACCTTTGATCTCTTTCAAATAAATAAATAAGTAAGTATGAGTTTGGAAATCGCTCAGTTGAAAGTCTGACGTTCAGAATTGCCTCCACCCTACAACGAATCAATCCTCACTGGGATCAAGAAAGAATCTTCCACGAGACAAGGAAGATTGTCGGAGCTATTTTACAGAGAATAACATACGCTGTGAGTTTTTCTTAGAGGTCATGCAACTTTCGATTTCCGTAG